CAAAAACTTTGTTTACCCCAAAGCTCATGTTTTAAATGTGAGTGGAGACCTGCTCAGCTTTTTGCTAAGTGCCATTCGAGTGCAACTTTATTTATCCGTGAAAGAGATATGCAAAGAATGCTTCTGTCGCTCTTTTTCCACAACGCGCCACTTCACACTCATACAGTTACACACATTCCAACATGAGAGCTGCCCCCTGACGCCGAGGGACGAGAGCGAGAGTTAGTCATACATATCACCAGCTAGCTTTTGTGTAGAAGCTAATTTTATAGACATACTCAAACAGTATTCTGCTAACTCCACAGGGCATTAAGATTAACACCCTCCCACGTGTGTGTTTAACCAGGTTACATATTACGTGACCCCACTTTAACTACTGTTAAACTACTGCTTGGCTCCAGTAAGACAGAAAATGCTGCATAGAGTATATCACATATCAGCAGGTTACTGAAGACATAACAGTGTTTAAGCTGCCTTTCTACCTCACTAAATGCAGCTGAATGAAAGCGACATTAATAATGAATTAAAGCACCAATCTTCACCATTCTTGTTGTTTTTAGCTTCCTTTTTTGCCCTTTTGTTTTCTTTTTTCCACAAACAATACAGAGCATGCGCCACTATCCAAGGTCAGGTACTTCCATTCATATCAGTCTGTAACATGAAACTGTATCCACTGGAAATCGTATCTACAGACTTATATAAACAAAATAAAGGGGACTTTATATATGTGCAATCACAGTTAGGTATTTAGGATTGCAACAAGACACACACACACACACATCCATTCACACACACGCACTGCAGCAGAGTGGTGCAGCAGAGTTATCACTGCGACCTATCCCATCAACAGCCCCCCAGTCTACAATCTCCCATCACCATCATTCGACAGTGTCTCATGTCTGGACGGGTAACTGCAACAACACCACTAAATCCCACCAGCTACACAATCTTTAGTCCTGTTAGCATTACAGCAGCATATCAGCAGACAGGAGGCTAACTCTGTGAGCTCAGTGACTTTTACAGTAAAGTACAGTAAAGACTTACTTCTGCCAAATATTCTGCTGCCTCCTCCACTGCCATGTTTCTCAGCCCGCAGCTGAAAGTGTGAAACCTGAGCAGTCAATTATAGCAGCTAAGCCCTAGCCTGGAAGCTAGGGAGAGAGGGATGGGGGCAAGAGAGGAGAGGGAGTAGGAGGAGGGACTGTCGGTGTTTGAGAGGGAGGGAGGGAGAGAACGACAGAGAGTGAGTGAAAGAGAGAGAGGGGGGGCATTATGTCACAGCTAAAAATACCTGGCTTGCGGTGAGAAAGTCCAGAGCATGGAGGAGGACGAGAGTGAGGGACGGGGGAGGCAGGAGACTTCCAGCGTTAATCTTAGATCAGGTGGCGGCACAGGATCGGAGGACAGAGGCTCTGAGTGTGCACGCCAGTGTGCTAAGAGTTTTCTATTTTCAAGTTTTGATTTTTATTAAGGTTAAAAATGTTTGTCTAGTTTCCCAAATGGACTAACTTGTTTCAGTTTAGTTTTTGAAAGGTTTGTTTTATTATAATTACTTCTAACTAGTTTCACAGTAATTCAAAATTTAAGATCCACAAAAGAGCTCACAATAAAAAAACTAGACTCATGCTCATGAATCCTAGTCTCGATAAACATATGCACATCAGACTGGCTGTAAAACCTGAACAAATACAGAGACACTCACTTCACTTCTTTATATTTAAGAGGAATTTAAAATGTAATAAGTTTTTAAGAATTTAGTTCCCAACCTTTTTGGCTCACACAAAGCTAACATGTAATTTTGTCCCTCCCCTCCCACAAAGTGGCAAAGTTCAAGTGAAGCTATCATGCTTTCTCCTTAATTTCTGTCAAAAACTATTATGATGGCAGATTCTGCTTTTAAACACAGCGAATATATGAAATACTGACGGAAATATTGCCTCACAGCAAGAAGGGCCTGAGTTCAATTTCACCATAATGCCAGGGCCTTTCTTTGTGGAGTTTGCATGTTCTCCCTGTGTCTGCGTGGGCTCTCTCCAGGTACTCCAGCTTCCTCCCACAGTCCAAAGACATGCAGTTAGTGGGGTTTGGTTAATTCATAATTTAAAATTGCCCATAGGTATGAATATGAGTGCGAGTGGTGGTCCGTCTCCATGTGTTGAGCCCTACGACAGACCCCGCCTCTCATCAATACCAGTCTGGGTATACCCCGCCTCTCGCCCTAAGACAGCTGGGAAAGGCTCCAGCATCCCCGCAACCTTGTATTAGATAAGCGGAAAAGAATGGGTTGACTACAAATAATTTGTGTGAGCCAAAAACTCAGACTTCAGACATTTTTTTTCTGCTTTTGGCTCTATATCATGTCACTGAGCAGACATCCTCATAGGGTCATGTAGGCACACAGCTCTAGCTCAGAGTACAGACGCTCACCCTGTTTTAAGCCATTCGCAGTAAATTGTAAGAAAGTTGGTTAAATGGAAACTTGGTTCAGATGGAGGTTGAAATGAGGCCACGGCGCGCAAAGCAATTTATAATAAAATTAAGGGTTAATTTAAACTGTAATCACTTCAAAGATACACTAGTAGAGTTCAAAAATAACATTATGGAGTTGGAAACTAACATAGAAGGTCCTTCTTAAAGTCTGAGTTAACAGTTTCACTAGAAACACATTTTCCCTTTAAACCCATGAACCCTCACAGTTCTCTGATCATTTGGAAGCATGGTTGGTTTGCAATCACTGGTCTGTCTAACCCTATCTAACCTTATATAACTATAAAAACAGTGCGACCTTAACAGCCACAACAGCCATATAGGGTAGGGATAGCTCAGTAGGTAGAGTGGTCGCCCCATGATCGGAAGGTCGGGGGTTCGAGTCCACTGAACGGCTACCCTGAGGTACCCCTGAGCAAGGTACCGTCCCTACACACTGCTCCCCGGGCGCCTGCTTAGTGGTTGCCCACTGCTTCACTGAGTGAATGGGTGAAATGCAGAGAAAAACAAGTTATTTCCCCACGGGGATCAATAAAGTATACATTATTATTATTATATGCTGCTTGCCCATTGGTGCACCATATTATGATACTTTAACTGAGGTAGGTGTGCATATTTCTTACAATAAATGCAGGATGGAATAAGAGTACAATAATCTCTCCACCTGTGAAAATTCCTGTCTGACTCTAAAAAGGTGTGTGGGTTGAGCGGTTAACACAATCCATTGCGCCTAAAATAAACTGCAGCAAAAAACTTGGCAGTCAAGTATCAGCCTTTTATCTACTCACACAACAAAAGTGTCAGAGTAAAAACCACCAACACACACGCGCAAAATATTTACCTCGACCTTCCTTCTTCATCAATACAGTGAGATTCACACATACACAAGTACACACAAGCAGAGACTTCGAGGGTCAAAGTCCAGCAGGTAGATTAGGGAGATATTAAAGAGACAGACAACATTGGTTAACGTCATAGAGGAATTTGTCAGGGAGACTGAGAATATCAGTAGACAAGACAAAATCCATTTAGAAGCAGGCATGTCAAGACAATGAAGCTTGAGACAATTGTGTTAGCAGTCAGTTTTGAGCTAGCTTGATAGTTGGGTAAGCAGCATTAGTGTCTTGGAAACATCAAATGAAGTGTCTTTGAATGTCAGAGTTGCTCTGCTTATAGCAGTTTATAATAAATTAGTCCAAATGTGTAGATACAGTGATGCCATCCATAACAGCAGTTATAAGCCTTTTATGTCCTGACTTCAGTAGTGGCAGGGCAACAGCTGGCCAACACTTTTTGCATGTATGCCGGTAAAACGTTATTTTCTGAATAGCACAGTGGAAATAAATTTGATGTGTGGAGAGTGGAGCAAAACTGATAAAACTACAAAAATGTATGTTTGGTCAGGTTTAGACAAAAAGACAATTTGCCACTTTACTGAATTATTGCTTTTTTAAATTTGGGGGCTTGATATCGTCATTGTTCAGGTCATGTTTCAAATAAACTATGGTTACCTTTTTATTATAAATCCTGATTATTTATCTTGCCCATTTCATATCACCTCTTTTATGATGAAAGGGCACATTGCAATTGTTACATCCCCCAGGAGGATGTCTCTTCTCCCTACTAACCCTTTGTTTTGTCCAGGCTCCACCTCCTCTGTCCTGATTGGATGCTGAGAAGAGTCCGGCTAATTGGTAATCAGCAGAGCACTACAGCCTGTGGAGCTGTGCTTCTGTGCCCTCTGGCCATTTTGGTTGCCGTACCTGTGCAGGCTTGCATGCCTTTGTATCTTGTATGAGCATTGTTGTTTTCATGTTCAGACTGCTTGTAGGGGAGAGCTGCCTTTTGCTTTGACACCCTGTTTTCTCCTGTTTATGTGTTGTTAGGTAGGTTATGGTTATAGGTTGTATATTTTGTTTCTTTGGAGTTAGGTAAGTTTCTTTTATTTCTACATCAGGGATGTTTTGTTTGTTGCCTTGGCTCTCCCTGACGTTACACCTCAGTCTGGACCCAAATCCCATCACCAGTGTTAAATAAACCTACTAAAATTACCATCTTGGCTCGTCCTTCTCTATCCACCTTTATGTTCGTCCCTCCAACCCCCTAGACTAGCCAGGGGACGTAACAGCAATCACAAAAAGGCAAAATGTTATGACTAACATAGCCTTATCTGACATAGTGAGTTGACAAATATTGTAGCAAATGAACAGAGTGAAGCCAAACGCCCTCATATTCAATCAAACCTAAAACAACAGTGAAAATAAGTTTTGTAAAGGAATTTCCAAAATCAGTAGATATTTTAAAATGAGATAATCACAAACAAAAGACAAGGGATTTTGGAAACGCTACAATAGATACAATGTATTTGCTGTACTAACACAAACTGCAAGAGAGGGAGGTAAAACATACTGAGAATAAATAAACACTATGTTACTGCATGTGGGAGAACACGGGGGAAACACTGGGTGATGAAACAGTCAGAGTTGCTCAAATATAAAAGAAGCTGCTTACTCTGGAAACACATTAGGTTCAGCACTTAACTGGTAAGGTAGTATCTGACCCCAGTGCATGTTTGGCTCCTATAATCAACTTTATAGAATCTGTTAAAAGCTAAAACGGTCTCTTCTTTCTTTTCAGGACATCTGCAGTGGCTTCTCTTTGGTAACCACTTCAAGCTGGTAAAAGAATGATGGTATGTAACATATGATGCTGCCTAAACAATCTCCTTTTAGAAAAACACATGCATCACAAACGATATTTTAATGTTACAGTTTCTTACAGCTCCACAGGCACAATATTTAAAATTATTTATTTGCAACCCCATTCTCCTTCTATGGCTGTTTTTTTCTTCAAGTGTAGTTTAGTGTGTGCCTGCCTGATATTAGCCACACTTTTCTTTAGCCTTAGCCTCTTACAAGTGCCCTGTGCATGTTAGCATTAACCCGGAGGCTCTAATCATAAATAAAATCTATCTGAGACACAACCATTGAGCAAATTTGTGGAGAATCATAGCCATTTTAAAACTGTGTCAAACAGCCTTGCACTGCATATTTACTCCAGCAAGATCATTAAATTGCATCACTGCTTCTCCAATAAAATTAGAGACGGCAAAGTAGAGAAGTAGAGTCAAGTCTACTGCAGGAGCAGAGCACTCATTAACTGAGGATCTAGAGATAGAGAGAGGACAGGTCTCTTCAGCACCACCTGAGAGCCAAGCAATCAAATATAGAGATAACAGAGCTTGACTCATGACTAACAGATTATAGGCCTAATCCCAGCAACCATCATTTCTCCTGGTAAAGTCTCTGTGTACTTCACACCAAATCTTCAACTAATATGATGTCAAACAAGTCCACACAACAAATATATCTTGAGTGCAGTTTGAGGGTTAATACTATAAAAATCATTTCATCTTTAAACTAGCTCCAGAAAAACCTTGCAGTACCATAATAGCCATGAGAAGTTCAAGTAAATTAATAATATCTAAAAAGCGCTTGCCTCCTTGTGTTATGAAAATGTTAAAAACTTAAGGTATCATCTGAAATGTGCACGATCCTGTTACAAACCTTAACTTTGACAGACATTATTTTTTCTTTGCTGTAGATCAGACTTGTGTTTGCAGTGCTGCTGCCTGCAGCAGCTTATCAATCCCCTCTGCCCGCAGACTGTAGTGACATCTACAGAGGTGGTGCAGGCGTGGATGGAGTGTACACCATCTATCCAGCCGGCTCCACCTCTCCTGTGCAGGTTTACTGTGACATGAGCAAAGACGACATCGACAACTCAGCAGAAAAATGGACGGTGAGGATTGCTCAGCCCTCTTTTTCCAAACTAATCCACCTCTTCTGATTTTGATCTTGAAATAAGAGATAAAGAGATCTGGCCAGAACTTACCTATTTTAACTTTATGAACTGCTTCACACATCTTGGCTCAAAAATTTATGTTTAACACAGTCAGAATTTTGTATTAAATATCTCTTTATGCACATGGGTGACTGGTTTTATTCAAGGATCATCTCTATACACAGATATATTTAAATCTAAAGGTAAGGGAGAAGCACCAGACGACCTTTTAGTTTAAGTTACCCTGTGTGCAGTTAGCAAAGCTAAAATGAGTCCTTTTGCTGGGGGGTCTATAATTTGCCTTTTACTGACAGTTTGTGTGAAACTTCTGTTATATCCAGGTGATTCAGAGGAGACAAGATGGCACAGTGAACTTCTTCAAGAAGTGGGAGCACTACAAAACCGGATTTGGGAGTGCTGCTGGAGAGTACTGGCTGGGTAAAATTCATCGTTCTTTTTTGGATTAAATTTGCCTTTACTTCAGTAGTCAATAAACCTTACTGTTATTAAATTCTTTTATTGTACATTTTCTCCTTTCTTAACAACAATAACATCGGCTCAAACTCATCAAATTTGTCTAAAACAGTTTATTTCAGATGATCACAGTTGCTCACTGTTTTATCTTCCCAGGCCTGGAGACAATGCATCTGCTAACCCAACGCAAGAACTATGAGCTGAAGGTCGACATGGAAGATTTTGAAGGCCAGAAGGTCTTTGCCCATTACTCCTCCTTCTCTGTTGGTCCAGAGTCAGATGGATATAAGTTAAACCTGGGAAGTTTCATCAAAGGGGCAGCAGGTGGGACTTTTTGTTCTCTCTTTTATAAGAACTTTTTTTTTTACTTTATCTACTCATAATCTATCAACAACGTTAGTATTTTTCAGTAGTTGAAACAAAATTTGTGTTTTCTGCTTTGTTTTGTTTTTCCAGGAGACTCTCTAAGTATTCACAATGGAATGAAATTCACTACCATTGACAATGATCAAGATACACATCCTTCGAACTGTGCCATAGTGTGCTATGGAGGATTCTGGTACAGCGCGTGCTATGCTGCCAACCCCAATGCCATCTACATGTGGGGACCTTCAACCCCTTTAACTGGCGTGCACTGGAGAACTTTTAAAGGGCTTGAATACTCCCTAAAAACCATGGTAATGAAAATTAGACCAGCTGCTACATAAAAACCAACCAAAACACAACAACCTGGAGAACTAGCAATGTGACTAGATTTGAAATATTTTACAATTTTGTAAAATTGTGAAACTTTTGTATTTATTAACATAGTCCCTGTATCCACATTAGTTTATGATATTTTCAAGAACATTAGGACTATTTCTTCATATCTTACTTACTTTAGTACATATGCTTGTTATGATATGAAGCAAAAATGTTCAATGTCTAACCAACCATGATAGAGAATCCTTTGAAAAATCTCTCCTATGCATTGAGTCCAAATGTTATTTACTTTGCAAGTTTAAAGACCCTCACTTCTAATAAAATTATGGACAGATAAGAAATCTCTCCATAAAGTTTTCCAAACAGAAAAATAAACAAACAAAATAACAACGGAAATATTTTTTTGACCAAAAGGCGCTGAAAACACTGGATGACATGTTTCTTCATGACCACCTATTTCGATTCAGCGCACCACCAGAGATACGGACAAAAAGCACAACATTATGTATTCATACGCAACAAAAAACAGTCCCAGGCTCTAAATTAAGTCTAATTTG